AGATTATTTATTTTTTCCTTTCGACTTTCCTGTTCCCGTTTTTTTCCTCTTCCCTTTTCTTAAGCGGTCGCATTTCCTTTTTGGAACATTATATATTTCGATGGGATAGCAAATGTTTAGTGGACGAGGAACGATTTTAAACTATAGTCCCAGAACGGTCGGGAGGGAAAGGGATCACGTCAGATCCAGAATACTCCGCACTTTCTCACTCTGGCTGAAGTCTCTGATACGAGTATGTTTGCAGTAGCGAGATAGATACGTAGTCGGTGGCTCAACTGGTTCGATAACGACGCGATCGTACGTCGATGGTATTCAACTCCGCGGCAAAACAACGTTCTGATCATTGTAAGCGCGAAGGACTGGCTAACGAAGCTATTGGGAATACTTTTGTTTTTTGCATAATGGTGGTATTTGCTGGCCGCACTCGTCGTGTACGTTAGAAGATATTGATTGGGTACATGCCTGCGGCACTGAGGTATGGGTTCTTTTCGCTTTGACGTGCATTCTAATAGAACGGCTGTTTTTAGCTTCAGCCATACGATCCACCAAGCGCGTTCCAGACATGTTTAAATCCTCTGCTTAGCTCCACCTTAGTAGAACTTATCTATCTACTCTATATTAGTAAAACTATCTATGACATAGCGGAAAACTGCTGCGGTACAGCAGTAACGTGTTTGCGTGCTGAACTTGAAGACACGTGCCGGTTTAGGTTTGAATTCAGGCGCAAACACCCATTGTCTCGTGCTGAGAGCCTGCCGTTTAACGTAATTCCTAACGGCTCGAGTACCAGACGTAGAAAACAAATATATTATATATTCGTTTTTTACATGTTTTTTTTACTTGACAAAAAATATTTTTCTAAAGCGTACGAAACTCCATTTGGTGCATCTTACTCCATAGCGTACCTTAGTAATGCATAGCACCTCGATCAAACCGTTCGTTGTTGACGCCCGTAACTCGTCTGACTGATTGATCGTCACTAATCATCATACTATCAGGCCAAGCCTAACTGCTGATCAAGATTTGGATGAATTAACTTGTCAGCATATTATTTGTCAATTTAGTGACCTTTCCATTTGTGACCTTTCCGACGCTAGGAACCGAAATAAGCGTTCCCGTTTTTCTTCACTAAGAAGCATTAGCATGGCCGTGAACGTGAACGATAATCAGCGTCTACAAGTGTTGTTCGCAGCAAATTACTATCAGTTACAACAAAAAAATGGACAAAAAAAAAGCTCTCGAAAGGGATCTTTTTATTTTTATACTGACTGCAAAGGACACTTTACGAGGTGTTGTGTCGCGCCGCCATCGCGACAGGCTTAAACAGCCGATTATTATCTTGTCGCAATATATAGCTTTTCTATAGCGTACAGTCTATTTTTATTGAACGCAATAATACACACGAAGAATAACATTGTACGAAATCGGTATTTTGTCAACCTGTTACTTTCTAAAAGGAGGAAATTGTTTCATATTATGTACTAGATAGGGGGCTCGAAATGGGGCTAGCAGACTACGAAACGAATGCTTCAGTCACTTTTTTATATATTCACCCAGCCAGCGACACAGTGAAGAAATGTATAATATAAACAGGTACCTGGCCAGCGCATTCATCTAACAAGAGAAGGCGTGCACAAGAAGGTGGGCAAGGACTTCAAAGTAAAACTGGGAGAACTTAATCTATCTATTCCCGATATGCAGTCGATTTTTTTTCTGAACTCTAAAACTCCTGAGCCGTTTGTCTGACCGTTTCGCTGTAATATGCTTTCAGGAATAAGGTTAAAGACCTTTCAGGAATTGTTTAAAGCCCGAGTCGATATATTTCTAGCGCCTGAGTCGTTGAACGCGTTCACCCTAAATCTCGTCGGTATCGATGAGGTGCTCACGTTAAGTGACCGGCCATTTTAGCGAACAACAGTTGCTCAAAAAGAATTTCGCGTAAACGCTATGATCGAACGATTCATACATTCAGTAACGCAGAGCCCAGTAGAACACCAACATGCCCAGCCGGTATAACCAATTACTGATATCTTATTAAAAGAGCTTACGCTGTCTTGAGCTAACAGTCACAGGTATTCAAGGATGCGAAAAAGTCATGTCTCAGACTGTATAGGACTACGACGGAGTAACCAGCTAGAGAACATACATTTTCACCCATTTGCTTGCTAAGGCCGACACAGGGCAATGTGTCAAATATTCAATCATCATTTGTGCCACTATCAACAGACACCATCGAAACAAAGTAAATCAAGCCCAACAACAATGGATGGAACGAATCTATTTCTCCAGGACTTCCATTTCACACTTTTAGAAAATAATAATGTGTTTTCATCCACATCAATCACTTTTTAATTTGCCTGCTCGTCTAACCGGTCACTCAAGTCAAAATTGCTGGTCATCTATTGCGTTGCCATCCAAGGTGTTCGTTTATGATAATTACTACCGCGTGCGTAAATTGTCACCGAGAGGACAGCTTCGTTGGGGCGCAAGCGCGAGCAAAGAAAGCTCTCGTTACTTAATCATTGACTTACCTAATTATATTTAGCCCTGCACTAGTTTCATGTCGTTGTTCCTCCTTGCGTTCGGGTAGTCGCATCGAAAGGATTCGAGCTACCCCTATATGTAAACTCGGGCGTACCCATATTGGTAATTCGTCATGAAGATGATCCCTGCCAGGGAACAGCGTCACATCAGCAGCATCTTCCAAGAAATCCTTTAGACACGATGATCTTTTCATATGATAACGATAAAGGGTCTATGAACGGCTCAACTTTATCAGCTGTTTATGCTCTTATTCTGCAGCACAATCACCGCATCGAAATCAGGGTGAGTCGAGCCCGTCTATAGGACTGAAGCCTCGAGCGGACGAAAATTAAATGAACTCGAAGAATCTATGAAGTTCTTTCTCCGTCCTATATCTCTTTCGAAGAACGAATCCTAAACCTTTTGCAGGATTTACGAAGAAAGAAATAGGCAGTTCGTACAAATGTGTATAGAGTTAACATTGTCGTCGTTGTCAGGCACTTCGGTGACATACCTCAGCTTTGTGTGTTCGTTTTGCTTTTCTGTTCCCTATCTACATCCGGTCGCAAGTAAAGGACTAAGTTACCAAGACTAGAAATTCAGTTAAAGCTCTCTTTCCCCATACCTTTTTACTATAGTTCGAAAAGGCCAAAGAAAGTGGCTACAGAAATTACGAACGCATGACAGGCAAAATCAACCATTAAAAATCTCTTTTTCTGCTGACCGTGTTACCTCGGCAACATAGCATGGGTCAGATTCGTTAAGGTCGGACCAAGCAGTCTCACTTTGTAAGGATAACGCTCGGTATCAGCTTAAATTGACGACGATTGCCTGAACGACTACAGACTAAGGCTTTGCAGAGAGCTACCCTTGAGTCCTTATTTCTCGTAGAGCGCACTGACATTGATAATCAGTCAGCCTTAAACCTTTAGCAACGAGGCCCCTCGAGAGCTTATTGCACTGACGTTTCCATTTCCAGTCTCATCATTGCCGCCCTAAGCTCCAAGGTCATATTTGAGGCTGTACTATTGACTTATTGTGCGACATTCCGCCGGCCAGTGGTCACGAAGTCTTCGAAGCAGCCATACCGGAAACGCTACTCTGAAAATATCTTCGCCGGATTAGCAGGACCTGAGCTCCTTTGAACTCTCTAAATTAACTTCAGACACTCGGACCTTCTCTAAGCCTATGCCTGCATTAGCACACATAACGAAAAGGTGGTGATCTGGCTCGCCAGAAACTGAATGGCTTAAAGGCATGCTGAGGGGAAACAGTCGGTCTCTGGCAACATAATTTGTTTATTGGAACGCATAGACGGCAACAATCCCAAGTGCGGTGTTGGCCTACGCAGACCACATACGTCCGTATGTACCCAAGAGTATGGAATCTAGGTAAGCTGACGGTGGGTTTGATAGCCAGACACTGCAAGTTCCAAAATCCTAACCTTACGCGTTAGATGTCCGTTGGTGCGATCGTTCCCTAATGCACTCGTTCTAGGTTCGCCTTTAGTAGTTGTAATTGATGTGCGCAGTGTGGTATTCAGTCAGCTAATCAACGAAATGAAGGTCCATGTGTTCTTCTATACGAAAAACGCATGGGGCAGTTAGACCACTAGGTGGCCCATTAAACGTTTAACGGGCCGATATTGGCCTCTCGAATCTCGAAGGTAGCGCGATGGATGGTGGAAACTGCCTCACCCTGAATTGTTTGTGACCTGCATCATTTGTTAGCAATGGTGAATGGTAATTTGGCACGAAACGAATATGAACAGAAAGGACTACAAGGCAAACAGAGAAGGAGGTTCCGATAAGCCGGTAACTGGCAGACCGAGTACTGGGTCTATCGTTGCACTGGGTTACGCAGCAGGACGATGCATGGCTTGCGCCCTTGTTACGGTTGCAACGGCGCCATGGGATCCGACAGGGGTAACTGACGCATAGAGACTGTCAAGGGAGAAATAAGAGAAGAGTTACCTGAAACGCTGTTGGAGAACGCCAAAGGAGTCTTGTTTGCTACATTACTATTATCATGTAGGCGTTTTAAATGCTGCAAGCGAACTGATAAATGCGGTATCTTCGAACACGAACTTTTGGACCAGCAATATATATAAGATTAGGGTAGATAAGGGCTGTACAAATATGGCCACTGCTTCTCTTGCCATTACAGCCCGGTATATTCCGCAAATGCCAGTCCGAGACACCTAAAAATCTAGACCGGAAAACGTGTCACAATACGCACTAACTATTCCTATCAGTGAATGCGTATTGACGAAATCAAAGGTAAGTCACATAGAGAATTGCAAAGAAAAAGCCTTAATTCTAAAGCGCACTTAATAACCCGAAACTTTGCCGTCAAATTTCAAATGCGAAACACCTATAAATTTCATCGATCGATCTATTTGTAGACATATTTTTTATTCTTCCAACCTTGAAGCCCCATTCTTCCAACATGCATGTAACGTTTGACTAGTTACGAACCTGTGCGGGTGTTCCAGCGCCACTAATAATGGTTCCATTAGTGATCCTGAATCCTTGTTTTTCAATATGACGTCGACGCAATAGATTTCTTTGCTTATTCGTCTATTTAAACAAGTGTTTTTTACCACTCACACTATTTCGCCCTCTCGCTTTGTGTTTGCTCTATCTGTATTATGTTAGTTTATTTTCGCTGCTCCTGCTAGTTTAGTACAGTAAGCTTATCGTGTCATTCAATATGTTCTTGGTCTTGTTTGAAGAAAAAGCTTCCTAGAGGAGATCTCGTATAGGTATCCAGAGAGTCTGCAACCAAATGCGCACCAACCGCACAAATCGAACGGACAAGCGGGTACTGAATTTATACTTGCGTGTTCCTTTAACCTACTACTTCTTTTTTGGTTCGCTGCTTCTCTCTAATTATCTTTGTTTTGTAAAATTGCGCACTCACTCTCATAGCTAATTAGCTAAATGACACAGCACTTCATCACCGTCGTCACGCATTCAATTCCTACAGGTTCCCCTAGATTTTTTTGACCACCTCGAGCGACTAACTCGTCCTCTTTATTATAATGTTCTAGCGGCCACTTTTTTCGACGTAAAATTCACTTCGTACTCGTCACCTCCAGCACCAGCCAAGGCATCTCACCAAAAACAAACTCTAGAACTACGCCTAACCCCCGAAGGGTACCACATTCAACGAACAAACTAGAGTAATGATGAAGACATATATGTGCGACAATAATATGTATTTAAACAACGCATGCCGCCTCAGTGTGCCAGCATGATCGGATTATTTCAGCATAGCACATTTAATACGCAAGAAGCAGTACTTGATATAAACGGATTCCGGAGACCTGAGGAGATTTTTTTCCGCACTACTCGAGCGAAGAAGATCTTCGTCTGCTACAGCCAAACGCATCAAGTCAGCCTAATCTTCTACGACGTCACCGCCGATGCACAATGTACGTTTCGATAACCCAAAGGTTTTAGCAAGTTCGAGATACGCGCTACCGTGACGTGTTCTTACCCGATGCGTTGATCCCCATCGACCAAATGTACCGCACTTGATTATCAGCTTCTGCAATGGAGTCTAACTAACAAGTGCGCCGCAGTGTATCGCCTTGTCGATGATTCGTCGCTAAACCCACGCCAATACCATTAAGACACACATAATCTACAGGTGACCTGTAGCAGGCCCGCGCTCCCATAGGTTTATTTGGACATCGTAGCCAAATTACCGACCTACATAGACCGAAGATAGGCTGGATTTTGTTATAACTGAGAAACAGATCGCTGGACACGAGCACACGAAAATTACAAATTCAGCCAGAGACGCTTTGTCGTCATGTATCTCGAAGAACTCTGAACCGCAGATCAGAGCAAGCTACCCGAACGAGTGTACTTCGACGGAAAGGGTAACAGCTAGGAGTGGAAAGAACGACATCGCGAAGGAGGGTAACGTCCGAACTAAGTATAGATCCAGATCTAGAATAACTGAAAGAGGAAGGCAATAGACGATGGCTTGGGGCGATGTCCACCTATTCCGACTGAGGGTGCCCGTGTGCTTCTGCTTTGAAGCGGGCACGATGACTCTAAGTACCAAAATAGTGGGAAAGAACGCATTGATAACGTCAGAGGAGACATTATCTGAATGACATACCCTGCCATGGTCCGTTGTACTCACCTGATTCGCATAATAAGCAAAGGAACTCCTTTGATCTCTAAACTAACGGGAGTAATCGAGCGCGGCAGGTACCACCGGATATGGAAAGATTGCGATAGAGAACTGAGGAAGGTATCGGTTAGAACAGGTATCATAAATAGAGCAACCACTAAAGGACCCATTTAGTCGAACTAAAACATTTGACCGAAGAAACCAGGCGCCTGGATTCTGAGGTGGACTTGCCTTTGAGCTAGCCGTCCAGCTGGAAGATTAGCGCTGGTTTTTCAAAAAGATAAGTAGATAGGTAGATAAAGCAATGGCTCTAAAAAAGCTTAGTATATGAGAACTCTGGCCACTCGCAACTCATTGTTGGCTTGCCAGCCACTGTCGAAGGCACAAATCCGGAACTTGCTCAGTGCTGGCTAGCCTGAAGATGAATGCCGGCAAAACGGCACATTGGTGTGCCTTTGATAGCTCGGCAGCGTGTTGAGAAGAAACCTTCAGACTGATTAAGTTTATTATGTATATCTGTGCGTTATTGTTGTGCGACCTTGTTGTATCAAAGAACCGACCCTTTGGACTATTCATGCGTTCGGCTTCCCCCTGCAAAACCAAAACTGTCAGCTGATTCTGCTCACTTCTTTCATCATAGGTCCGAATAGAAGAACTGGATGTACATCTACCTTATTTATTGAGGTATCTATCAGAGGGGCAAGTGGTGAAAGGCTGGTAAGGTAGATGCTGCAATTATCTAGGCATTGGCATAGTCCAAGGTTCTTTTGAAGACTGTCGAATGCGCTCTTTTCAAACAATAGTTCAATGATTGGGGTGTAGGCCGCCTTAGAGGGCTATTTTTAAAGACGATATTTGAAAGCACGACGAACTTTCTCGTAGCTGACGAAGATTTCTACGATAGGCTTTTGTAACCTTGTATGCCTTGCTCAAATCTAGATCGCTCAACATGCTTTTAAGATCAATAATAAGTTACCACTATTACGGCAAGGTATCGATCAATTTAGTCGCAGTACCCACTCTTATAGATGTAATTCGTATACATTTGTTGAAATCTGCGGTTTATATTACTCTAGCCTTTCGCTGCCTATAGAATTGATGTCATCACTATTTTACAAGCTCTATTATATTATTTCATTTAAATTTTCCCAAGCAATTTGAAATACTAAAGAAATTATCTATTAAACCCAAAAACGACTTTGTCTGAATTTATGCTGATGCTCTTAGTTCGCAATTTTTATGTTGCAAAAAAATAACTGAGGTAATCTAGCACGCAATCGTCTTCTATTTACAACGCAGTAACGATTCTCGTATCGGCACGTACGAACGAGAGTAATACAAATAGGAACTGAAAGACAAAACGAGCTGGCGGATTATCAACGCCATTAACCCTTGTTATTATTCTGTCATGATCTAGATAATATTTTTTTCTAGTATGCCTACAACAATCTAACGTGAATGATCCACTGGTAGCCCGTACTTCTTTCGTCCGAGTGTGATATTCTGTTTACTTGCCGCAGCGACCTGATGTGACTAACTAGCGTAGTGCCTGCTTTCGAATGAGCACTTGAATGAAAAGGAGGGAAGTTCACAGAAGTTAAGTTGGTAAACGCTGTAAACGAGACCGTAAAATAAACTAAGACGATACATTAAGTGTTTAGTAAAAGAGACGTTTTGATTGTATATAAGCTAAGTTAATGAGTGTCTATTTTTAGGCCGACGTTTTTTCAGGAGTAGGTCGCATGTTATCTGGTGTATGCGTACGGGTCAGATTTTCTATGAGATAAACTGTTCGATAAAACGCGTTAAAACCTTGATTTGCTGGTCCAGTTGCTATCAGCGTGACAACAAACAGAATCAAACAAGTCGACATTGCCTAAGAAAAGCCATATGCGAGAAAAAAAGCCGCTTGCCTAGGTAGAGGTTGCGGCGTTTTTGTCCAGACCCGATTTTGCATCCGCGAATTGTCGTTCACTTTGTCATAACCGATCCGTCGAGACGGTCAAGCAACGACGCTTTTAACCGGTCGGTTCATGTGGCCATACTAATGGCTTGCTAGATATTTTACATACACTCGTATGTCCTTATATTTCAAATGACAGAGCATATCTCGCCGGCCGTGTCACAATAATAGAGTTCAAATTTGAAAAGTTGGCCTTTACCGCTTAGTTTCTATCAATCACTTTGACGCAATGGCGCTTTGAATTAGTACTGGTAGCCCAATTTACCATCATGCTTTATATTCTACATCAGAACTTTTGACTATGTCCGTTTCAGCCTAAATGAGCCTTTCATTACTCTTTCTACGAGTCCTTTTCTACAAATATGATTATGGTCTATCCAGTATGTCTACACTCTATTTATCCATCTAATTCGGGGATCTATCGATCATTGTTCTTTGCTTCTCAGATGATCGTCAACAATCAGCTTCTCCTCCGCCAGAATGCTATCGTAAAACGATCGCTCGTCTGTAGTGCCACGTAAGCAGCAGATGTTTCATTTGCTTGCTATCCAGATACATGTTAGAATGACACAGTAATGATCCAGAGTAAAAAAACTATATACTATATATACATGTGTACATATAGTATATAGTACATATGTCTATATACTATATGTACACACTATATGTACTATATAGAACTAGCGAAGACTAGTAGGGTTCGTTTGATTTTAGCGCTTTTGTTGTATAAACTCTATTGTCCTCTCTATCTTTGAAATGGATTTAACCGATCTGTCATGCTATAACCTGCTTCAACTATTCTATTCAACTAGCATAAATTAACCTATGGCCAAATTTAATTCAATTATATATAAATTATTAAAATATTAAATATAAAATCTATCAGCGTATCCAAGCTCCCCCACTTGTGCATATACCTACCATTAAATTCACAACGATACCAAACATTAACGTCTCAACACACGATAAATACGTGACCGAAAAAGGCCTCATTCTCCAGTCACCGGCTCTATGTACCCAATCCCGGCCAAACATTGCTCTCTTCAACAAGTGATATCACGGTCGTCGTCGTCGTCGTCTCATTGATGAATTAAAACATGCCTCAGTCAGCTTTAAAGACGAGCCATTTTATGCTTCTATACAGTACGTATCGCTGCCACTATCTCGAGCTCTTCATCCCATCCATGCTGCTATGACTCAGGAGACAAGCGAAGGCTCGAGCCTGGTGCGGGCGCGGAAAGCACGGGCTGATCTGATTTGAATTCGTTCTGGTGGGATCTTCTACCCGACCAAAAGATTGTAGAAGCTGTCGCTCGTCCTACGAAGGAAAAATAGCAGCAGGAAATGCAGAGCCTGCAGTCACGCAAACAAAGCCGAATGTAGGCGTACATGTCTTGCCCAGCCTGCAGCCTCCTGCTTTCCCACATTCATCCTTGCAAAAAAGCCAGTCACGGGTCTATCCAGCTATGCAGTTGGTCAGTTTTAGCAAGCCTCAGCGTCGAGATTCACCAAGGGATCCGCGTCTGCGATTACAAAGAGGGTGGCAAGTGTTGAAAAATTAGGGTAACAGATAGAGTTTAGCGTGCGCGAATCAAAAGCAACGGGGAAAGCTAAATGTTGGTGATAAGCGAAGTCCGCAAGGGTAAATCTCGGCAGGCGGTAACAACGTCATAAGCAATCCAGCTATGGTTTTTCCCTTTAGACTATATCGTTTAGCGCTACTACGTCCAGCGAAGGTCATAATGCGCATTTTGCGTCCTCTTCCGCGTTTTAGGGATCGCGTATGAAACAGCAATGGTCTCCTCTGGCCACTACTAGCAGACATGAGCAATTCTCTCTCTCTCGCTTAGTCGATACAGCTTTTTTGTTGGATCAATCACCCTCATACGCCTGCACACGGACTATTTGTTTACATATTTTTCTCGTCTGCATGAAGATATCGTCTGCGCAGGCATGTTACGCTGTAGTGACATTGCACAGTGGGTCGTAGACATTGACGTAGAAACGGTTTACGTTTGTTAGTTTATTAATTTTGCTTTGAGCGCTCGGTCTAGTCCAAAAATTAACGACACACAATTGTCGAAATTTTTGAATAGCCAGGGTATCATGAAGTAACCCGGTACCGCCAGTCTGAATCGAACTTTTGTTGGTGGCCTTCTCTAATTCTGACATATGCAATGTCAAGCTAGCCATATTGGGCTGATCCATGATGATAATGGGCATCAATTTTTTTTACACCATTTACGAATGCATTATGTTGACGGGTAAGCATGTTCGTATCAGGTACAATACGGCGTGTTTGTACGCACCAAAAGCCGTAGAAGGCCCAACGCCAGCCTTATGCGTCGCCTGTGTGTCTTACTTTTGGCGTAATGGCCGCGACAAACCTGTCTAGTCATATGTCGTTTTGTTAGTGCCAGCCATATGATTTATCTCGGCCCTTTGCTACACGTCGTCTCGAAACACATCGACGTGTTGTACCTTTGATACCCACAAGGTATTGGAGTCGTTTTCGTTTGTCTCTCTCATGAATGTTTTACGATACGTAGCTGACGCCGTGTGCACTTCTGCTGTCTGCGCCTTACGTTGAGCCTATCCCCTTTTAGGTTTCCTCAGTTTGCCCGTAGTTTCAGATTCCATCTGGGAGATCTCTCTTATAACCCCTCCTAGGC